TGTAATTAACAAGGATAAAAATACTTTGCTTTTGTTTAATATTTTCTGGAGTTGTGCATTCCTCGGATCAGATGCTAGAAACCTCATTAAGTCTCACCCATGTCCTCAAGGCCCACATGTTCTCCACAACCAGATCCCGTTATAGAATAAGGAGCCATTTTACTGCGATGCTCCCAGCCTGCCACGGCAGCGGGCGGGCGCGGGGATGGCGGTGACACCGCGGCCACCGAATGTGGCCAGAAGCAGGTGGTAGCTGATGCATCTCCTACATCCCTCTGCAAGGTGCCACCCTAGGTACTGACACTTAAACCTCGCTCTCCCATCGGCCCGTGTTTAAGACTGGGCTTATCCTTTCATTTACCTGCTGCTCCTTTTGCAGGTCCAGCCCTTTCCCTGGTCCATCGCAGCAGTGCCACCGCTGCGGGAGGCACATCACTCCACCGGACCAACTCCTCGCTCCCTCTACCACCATCAAACCCTTGGCCAAGGGGATGATGTGCTCCTTGTCTCTCTGATCCTGGCTTTGGAGATTCGCTGCTGTTCTGGCTATACAAAGGGGTGAACAAAAATAAATACCCCCCCCCCCCCCCAGCCTCAGGACAAGAAGAGGCTCCGTGACCCCCAGGGCTCAGCGGGGTCCTGCCTTCCCCTGCCCAGGCCTCAGGGGTGGTGGGTGATGCTCAAGGCAAGCGATGCTCAAGGGAAACGGAGAACATCAGCCACCAGCGTCCCACCGCAGGCTCGCTGGCGTTAGCTCAGTCAACACTTCAGCTGGGGAATGAAAAAGTGGAGAAAAAGGAGGAAAAAAACCCAAACCCCAACCCTCTCTGAAATTCAGGGCTTCCTCTGCTCTGCTCTTCTTGGGCTTTGTTTTTGTTTTTACAAACGGGGCTCTTGGAAACCTTGGCAATCACTATTTTAAAGGGCTCCCCCTCCCCCAGGCCTTTGTAAGGCTGTCGGGATCTACATGCCAGGAGCAGGATTAGCTGGCTTTCTCTCTTCCATCTTACGGTTTTATTATTCTGCACCTTTTGAGGGTACAGTTTATCCCGAGTAATTAAAACACAGTTAGCTGTACAAGTCCAAACCATAATGGAATAGCTTAGGTTTTATTTTTTTTAATCTCTTTTTTGTGCGCCCTCTTTTCCAGGAATCCTGATACTATAGCTGGCTTATTTAAAACAGGAAACTCCCTTGAAATGTGCTGGTGCAGAAGAGAGATTTTAGCAGAAGTGCGGTATATCAGAGCCTTACAGCGGGGCCGGGCAGCGCCGTGCTCCTGACCTGCCTCCTCCCTCCTCACTGCCCTCGCCTCGGCATCACGACACCGTTCAGGTCTTCCCCCTACAGAAATCAAGTAGGAAAACTTTGCCGCGAGATGCCTGGCTCCAACGTGAGGGCTGGACGGCTGCAGCATCTCCAGCGACGCCCAAAAAAGCTGCTCGTGTTTTCACTTCTCCAACTGGGATGACTCCGGCACCGCAAGAATTGGGTACAGCCTAATAGCTGCCGCCTGCACCATCCCAGGGTTGGTCCTGCCCTCACCTTCTGAATTGATTTGGTTCTGTTACTGCACAAACTGGCCCCATGACAGCGAAGGAAAACACCGTACCCAAGGGTATAATCCCATGGCTCTAAGGAATACCACTGCGAGCCCGGGCGCCGAAGGCAAACCCACGTTACTCACCGCATCCTCTAGAGCGTGGAAGTACAAAGCAAAATAAAACCAAAACCGGTGTGCGGGAAAACAGCCTCGGTTCTCTTTGGTCTGACTCTAACAGCAGCCAGGGCACGCGGTCCCGCTCCTGCCGGGTGGGCGGCCCTGGAGACACCGACCTCGTCCCCATCCCCTGACCCCGCTCCTCCTCGCCCCCCCGGTACCAACCATGGGGACCTGAAGCGCGGCAGAGCGAGCAGGGAGGCTTCTGAGGCTCATGTCCTACAACGGGCTCGTCCACGTTTCTCAGCAAATATTTCTAATATTAAAATAGCAACATTGCTACCAGCATGCTGTCCCTCTTTCGCACATGGCTGGGTAAAAACGCTCGAAAAATGTTGCTCATCTGCTTGCTACCTGGCAGGGGGACATGCCAAGGGCTCCTGCTCTTTGGGACGGGATGGGGATGAGCCAGTTCTCAGTACGAGGGAAGCCTGGCTTTAGGTAACAGAAAAGGCCAGATTTGTCAAATCTTCCCCATTGCTTAAGAATAAAACCAAACGGCTTTGGGGCAAGCGTGCCAGCTCTCCAACAAACGAGAGTTAAATATTTGCAAAATGAGTCCGGCAATTTCAGTGCAGAACTGTAGCGGGGAAAGCGGCTCCAGGCAAGAGGATGCTCAGCGCTGCCAGC